AGAAACAGATGCTAACGACAATAAGAAACAGATGCTAACGACAATAAAAAAAACAGATGTTAATAAAGTAAAAGATAGTTTTGTTTAAAATTATTTTTTTTCCCTCGTGCATCATTGATTTCAGGGTTTGATTTATTTTTGGAGCTGTTACCTGAAACTCTCTTCTGAAGACGTCTCCTAGATAGTTATGGGGCTAAAATAAAATCTTCTATTTAGAGTTTTATATAAAAAATGACCTGATATCATGATTGTAATTTTTTTTTAAACCAAAAGTACACAAATGTGTAATATACACGAATAGTAAATGCACTTGTGCATCCAGTGTGCACACAAAAATCTATTCAGACATTTAATCAGATTTAAAGACGTAGCCCTGATAATATGACTGGTTAGAGATGATTTGGAGGAAAGAAAAACAAAATAAAATCATAAAAACAGATCCCATCTTTTTCATCAGCACCTAATGGCAGGGTTTTAATGATGTTATGATGGCGATAACATTTTAACTGTCTAAGTTATAGTCTATATAGTTTTTTTTGTTGCAAAATTAAAATAATTTGGGGTACTTTTAGCTGAGTGAAACAACTCTGGATTAGACAGTTTACAGTAGATTCCAGTTAGCAGGTGAATGAATTACTTTTACAAAGTGCACAAAGAAACATAACTTGTGCAAAAGTGCCAATCCTTATTTTTAAAACGGGTTAAACGTATAATCTGTAAGCCTGAATAATTCAAAAACATCCTAAACAGGCAGGAAAGAGCAGCGGCCACGTCAGAGTGGTTTCTGAAACTCGAGCGTCCTGTAAGAGAAGTCGAGCAGCTTCGGTGCAGAGAGGCCTATTTTTAGCAGCAGTTTTATGAATCGGCTCCCAGTTCAGGTCATGCATGAACCAACACTGACCTGCTCATTACACCCCTCACAGCCTCACTCTCTCTCTCTTTCTCCTATTCATCATTTCACCCACCCATCATTACCTCCTTTGTGCCCTGCCTACAGGCAGGCACCAGCCTTTTGTTCTTCCTGCCCGCTCCATCATTCGGCCCATCCTGCCCTTCCGCCCACCTGACTTTTCCTTCCTTGTTGGCCAGGAATCACCCTGCAGAGGGTTGTGAATGAGATGACGGTGTCTGCGTCTCTGTGCGGAGTTGAAGGAGGAGGAGAAGGAGGCCGTGGGCTAAGGACGTGAGCCAGGTGCCTGCACACTCTTCCTTCTCCGGGTGCAGGCCGTGCCAGGCCCATAAGGGCTGACTTATTGAGCGTGACTCAGAAGGATCTGTATAAACGTACTCACTGACCACAATGGTTTTATAATAACTGACCAACCTTTGGGGACCCAGGCGGCTATTTTCACTTTGTCTCTCTGCTGGTTCTCTTCCTCTGCTGGTTTATTTTCCCCCAGCAAACGTTTCAGAATATACAGAGCAGTAAAAAAATTTGGTTACAACGTTGCTACTGCAACCCCCGAGTCTTTAGGACCAATTCTAGTTTCTGGATTGGTCTAATGCTCTAAACTCTCTACAGTTTTCCTACCGAGAGCAATACTGAGAAAATATTATCACCATCCCACTACAATGGCAACAGATGGAGTAATTACACAATTTTAGCTTATCTGCTTTACCTTAAAAGGGTTTAGACACAAAATTCAAACTTTTTTCTGGAAAAACAAACTTGCTTGAAAACTTTGTGCCATCCATGCAGCAGGCGTTACAGTCAGAACTCCAAGTGTGGCAACCATAAAATAAATTTAATTCAGGTATAGGCTACGGGCTGTACGGTCCCTATAGAAATGATGTGAGAGTTTGGTTCACATTGCCGGCAGTAAGTCGGACCCCTTCAGGGTGGGAGTTGGACTCCACCAGGGCTGCCCGCTGTCACCGACGCTGTTCAGAACTTTTATGGACAGAATTTCTCGGTGCAGCCAGGGGGTGGAGGGAGTTCGGTTCGGTGGCCTCAGGATTCCCTCTCTGCTCTTTGCCTATGACGTGGTCCTGTTGGCGTCATCGTGCCGTGATCTCCAGCTCTCACTGGAGCGGTTTGCAGCAGAGTGTGAAGCAGCTGGGATGAGAATCAGCACCTCCAAATTTGAGGCCGTGGTCCTCATTCAGGAAATGGTGTATTGTTCTCTTCAGGTCGAGGGTGAGGTTCTGCCTCCAGTGGAGGA